ATCACCAACTAATTAACTACACACATACATGAACTGGTAGTTTTACCAGTCTTGCTAATTTTCTGCACAGCTGGCATTTAACATCTAGTGGTTATCTACATTTGTTTAGTTGAAAACCGAAACAAACGGGAGAGTTATAAATTAAGTAATATTAGAAGCTGGTCAAGATGGTAACTGTGTGAACTATGGGTATAACAATTGTTCTTTGTAACTGAATTGTGAACACAGTAATACTGTTTATCACGCTAATTCTACAGACCATAATCGTTTGTCTACATTTACATTATCGTCCAAGCTTAATGTTGCTAGCAGTGTCTCTATTATTAACTTCTGTATTAAGGTTAGGGCTGACAATGTCAACTGTATTAGTAATTGTGTAACTCTACTGATTATTTTGACAATTAATCAAGTAACTTGTTACCCTAACAATAAACCTGGACTTAACTGAACAGCGGCAGGTCATGCACAGCATGCATTTGCATCAGAAAACTATGCATCATCATCATCATGCAAACTGACAACTAATCACTGCTGATTCATAGAGAAAACAGACTTTAATCAATGACTTTTTTCATCAACTAATCAAGTTTAATTGAGCAATTGTGACAGCCCTGATTAAAGGGGAATTCCACCATTTTTTCAGAATTTCTGTATAACTACATCACTGAGATGTAAACAAAGTCAAAGGTTACATTTTTTTAAATACATTCATGGCACATGCAGGGGGCTGTGAGGCAAAAACAGCCTGCAAAGAAAACACATTTTCAGTCTTATCACTATTTTACTATCATTAACATTACATATAAAACTCAGAAGACTCATGTAGCTTCTCTGTTGGTTTTGGATAGTAAATAAAATGGCTATATCTGTGTTGTAGACACTGTGACCCCTGGTTCCCAACACCACCACTATAAAAAAATAAGAGTCTGTAAGTTTCTCTACTACGAACCACTTTACATCAAAGCGCTCTGCCTTTGTTTACATCTCAACAACTGAATTCTGCAGAAATGTTCAGTTCCTCATTATAACACTGACTTATGTATACAACAACCATTTGCTTTAAACACTTTTCCCGACGCTGCAACCTCCTCACAGCGTCGCCTGACTGTGAATGAAAAAAAGAGGAACAGGTAGACTTCTTGAGCAAGACAAACCAAACCGCAGCTCTTGACCAAACATTAAACCCTCATTCATTCTAAGGCAGCTGCTGAGCTTAAACAACCATTCTTTGCTGCAAAAGAAATCACGCAGAGGTATACTGAAGTGAGACAAATCACATAGGCAGTGAAAAGAAGAAGAAGAAAAAAAAAAAACCAAATGAAACCAGTGATGACAAACAGGACGGTCTGACCACTAGCATTCCAGGCCGGAGAGAGGGATCCCCGAAATAACTCGCCTCCATGTAAACATGGAATTACGTTAAATACAGCACGGGTCAGACGGGCCTTAGCAATCAGGGGCGCCAGGGCTAGCAGCTCCTGACCACGAAGCCAGAGACACGCTGTTGACAAGAGTTTTCCACCTCCTTATTACATTACAAGGCATGGGATCTGAAAGCGGACGGCAGGGGAAAAAAAAAGAAAACAAAACAGAAAGAATACAATGTTATTAACAATGCTAAAGACCTTCCCAGTAGGTTTAGGAGCCTGACGTTCAACAGAATGTTCAACAGGGTGCGTTCAGCCGTACTACATGCTCAACGATCCCAACCAGAGTATCCAGGCTGTCCTTCCTCACACTTATAATTTAAGAATGACTCAGCCAGTGTGCACATGTTATTACTGAATAATAAGCCTTAGCTTGTAATAAGCCTGTGAAAGTAAGGAGTCAATGGACACTTCAGTGTCCGCTGCAGTTGATGCTTGCTAGTTCCTTCTATTCTTTCTGAATGAGCAAAAGAAAAAGGCTGTTAAATGGGCTCAGTACCACATATAATGCACAAACTCCACCTGATTCAAATGCGTACATGGGTTCCACATGAGGAAAATATATTACGTCAACCTTGTTATTGTCTTTCAGGTTATTACCGTCAATAATAGGTTATTACATTGAATGACACGGCTGTCCCATAACATCTGATGTCCCATAAGACCTTAATCCACCAGTGTTAGATAGACACAGAGTGATGTATTATGCGCAGAAAGGCTCTTAAAAATAAAGGTCCCACACTAGAGGAACCACTTCCAGTGGATGGTTCTTTGAAGAGCCATTTGTGCAAAAGAGATGTAAAGATCTTTCTTAAAGTTTTACGAACCTCCACATAATCGAGAGGTTCTAGAAAGAACCTTTCGATAAGTATGGAACATTTACATTATGCAGACCCTTAAAAAAGTGGTTCTTCAAAGGTTCTTAGGTAAAGGCAATGGTTACATGTAGAATCATTATGACTCAAAGAAAGCGTTGAATGTTAAAATGGTTCTTTGAATGGTTAAATAGTCCCTAAACATATGTACATATGTTTATACAATGTTGTATATGGTTCTTCTAAAGAACTCTTAAAATGGTTGTGTAGCACCAAAAAGTTCCACTATTCCAAGACAAAGAAATAATCTTTTTTATAGACGCCTTTTTGCTAAGAATGAATCTTCATCTTTACACACACAAATCTTCCCTGAAGAACCTTTCAACTGATGGTTCTTCAGAGAACCATTTTTTGCAAATGGGATGTGAGTGTGTAGAACTATTTTAAAGTTTAAAGAACCTCCACATAATTAAACTGGTATAGAACTTTTACACTATATGTACCCTTAAAAAGTGGTTCTTCAAAGGTTCTTTAGGAAAGGCAATAGTTCTAGAACCATGAGAACTCAAAGAAGCATTTGAATGTTTAAATGGTTCTTTGAACGGTTAAATAGTCCTTAAACTGTTTTAAAAAGTTGTATATGGTTCTTTAAAGAATCCCTTAAAATGCATCTATATAGCACCAAAAAGGGTTCCACTATATTATGTCAAAGAACCCCCACTTTTATAGACCCCTTTTGTGCTAAGAATCTTCCTTCACCTTACTGCTCACAAATTTTTCCCTTTTGGTTCCCTAAAAAAGCTTTCAAATGATGGGTCCTCGGAGAACCATTTTTGGATGTGAGCGTAAATAATTTAACTTTAAAAGTGTAAACAACCTCCATATGTAGAGGCTCTAGGAAGAACCTCATAAATGGCATAGAATTTTACAATATGTAGACCCTTAAAAGTGGTTCTTCAGAGGTTCTCTTGGAAAGGCAATAGTTATAGAACCATGAGAACTCAGAGAAGCATTTGAATGTTTAAATGTTTTTGTGAACAGTTAAATAGTCTGTAAACATGTCGCATATGGTTCTTCAAAGAATCCCACCACAAGGGGTTCTACTAGTCTTACAAGTCAAAGAACCCCATCTTTGGTAGCATATTAAACCCTTTTTGCTAAGAATGTACCTTAAAACGTTCTTCACACTCACAAATCTTTTTAACATGCACGATTCATTAGGGAAACAGAAGTGGTTCTTCTGTGGTATTGCTCAAAGAACCCTCGGTGGCACTTTTTTCTTTTTTTAAGAGTGAAGTTTGCATTTGCCTCTACAGTCACAGCAACAGAGGAACAGAGGTTTGCAGCCACACGGTAAAAAAAAAAGCGTTTCTGTTTGTTTCGGCTCATTGAGCAGCCTCAGGACGGAAAGATCCCGAGTGTGTCTGCACCGCATGCCGTCGCATTTAATGCATTTAGTCCATTATATCTTCATTTCGCTCATTTTTATTTGCACAAATCGATTCACCAGAGGCAGCTCATAAACCATGGGCACGCAGCCAAATCAGCTTGACAGCCTCCTCCAATACAGACACAACTGCAACCACAAGACCATCAGCAAACTCTCAGACAGGCAAACGAGCGGCATTAAAATCATCCACAGGAACATTAAACGCTGCATGTGGCCTGTTGAAAATATCAGCACTGAGAGCTCAGACCTCCACAGGATTTCTATTATATCCATATAAACCTGAACAAGAGGTACAAATGAACAGATAAGATCAGAATCATGTAAGGCATTTGTCTTGGTTTCTGATCTTATCACACCTTAACATTTCAACATTCGACACAAGTTACATATTGTTGTTGTCAAAACAAAACCATCTCCATATCTCTACAAACATTTCAGGAAGAACTGACTAATGAAAGTGGGCCAAATTATGTGCAGTGGGGGTAACGTTTTTTATTAGAGCTTATATTTTTAGCATAAAAATTGAGTGAAAAGTAGAAGCACTGAAACCTTACACGTCTAAATATTTGCTGCTGTCGGATCAAAACCTCATATCTCCAAAAAAATAACTTTACAGGAGAAGGAAAAACTTTCTTAACTTTCAATGGTAAATGGAGAATCAAGTAAATGGAGAAATATTTTTTCCAGTTCATTTTGGACCATTTCTGTTGGTCTGTTCATGATGAAATTTTGACACCACATAAACGGCAGCTGCTGTAAAGCAACTATGTAAAAAAAATGAAAAATGACAAAAACTGAGGTATGAGGTTTTGTCCTGACAGCAGCATTTTTTTTGCATTGACATAATTTTTCTTTAATTCTGTTCAAAATTCTAAAATCTTCTGTTGTTATTTCCAGGTTTAAATGAAAACGATCTCAGACGTTCAGTGCAAAGAACCCTTAAATCATGCAAAGGGTTCTTTGAGAGTTCATGGTTCTATACAAAACCATTTATTGACTAAAGAACCCTTGAAGAACCATCTTTTTAAGACTATAGTCTTATGCATGCGTATATGCTTATACCAATGTAAAAAATAACGTAATAATAAAGTAATAAAATCCTCAGTGCTGATTTGTGTCTAATCAGATCTATTAGCTCAGTCAGCAGTTGGGATTCTGCTGTACTCTATAAGTTATGAACACACATTATTCCCCCACAGTTCTCAGAGATGACACACACACACACACACACGCACACACACACACACACACACACAGAAAGCTGCAGTGAAGCTGAGAGAGAATGAACAGCAGCTCTTTCTCACTCACCCGTCTGTTTTCCATTTTGGCGTCCTCCGTCAGGGACGAGGAGCGACTCTGGCTGATGTTTATTTGCTGCTGAGGTGACATAGTTTCCATTCAGGCACGTTGAACAGGTGGTTGGACTGATCCAAGCAAAGAGACCCCCTCTACGCGCCCAACTTCAGCTTATCCCACCAGAGACACAAACACGAGGCTGAGGTGACCCCGGACTTCAGAACACATCTCGAATCCTCTTTAAACGGCGCGAATGAAGAGGAGCTGAGTGAACTCGGTCCATATCAGCGAACATCCACACAGACGGAGAGACTCCAGCGCCGCCAGCGCCTCCCTCGAGCTGCAGCGCTCTGATGAAGCGCGCAACTTTTCCTTCGCTTAACCAGCGGCTCCAGAAAGAATCGTTCGTCTGAGTCGACTCGATCGAACCGACTCACAGGCCTAACTGAATCAAACCTTTTCTGCAACGTTAACTCGAGTTTGGAAAGTTGTAAGACGGTTTGAATGATAACCTTTCACAGTCCAGCTCCATTAAATTATAACCAAAAGTCAAAATCAAAAAGAGCAAACTGTAAAATGTTTCGGTTCTTTACCTTATTTTCATCTCCTCCACTCTGTGGTGTTTGACCCTTCTGGTTTTTCAATTCTGACTCCATTACTGAGTAAAACTGCAGATTCACTTTCTGAACCGAATCCTGTGTTCGGAGATGATGAGGAGAAAGTAGAACTGGACGTGGAAATTGGTGAATTGTTGGAACGGACAAAGAATCGACTCGCCAAACTGAATCAAACTTCACAGGCTAATGGTAAATCCCGCTATAGGCTGTTTACACCAGCTACGCCGCTGGGCCCTAAAGCCCTCCATTCGGTGGTGTTCTAGTTTATTCAGCGGTAATCCTTAACCTCCTTTTCCACAACAGCTATAAAATAATATTTCCATCTGGTTTGGGAAAAAGTCTTAAAGGGAAATTCCACTGACTTTTTAAAATTTCTGCAAAGCTAAATGATTCAGATGTAAATAGAGTCATTCAGAGTGGTTTGGTGTGAACCTCTACAAGCTTCCTCACAGGAAGTTATTACATGGAAAAGTTTTGATTACGCTGCCTGATGCCGTAGACACTGTTTTACGATACTTTTGTGTTAAACTTTTTGCTTAATGTACTTTTTAAAAATCCATTCACAGGTACATGATATTATATTCAGAAGTTTTGAAAAATTGGTGGAATTCCCCTTTAACAATGCATTTTTCTTCAATAAAGTTAATACCTTTCAATGGGAACCTGAATGATTTACAAAACTGGAAGTAAGCATATAAATCAACATTTACATGTGTTTTTACTGTGTTTATGCTATTTTTATTGTGGCGGTCTGTACGTGTATGTTTTTTATATCAAGAAAGCTGTAATTGTCCGTTGTATCTCGTCTTCTTGGAGAGGTGTGAATTGTTTTTACAGTAGGAGGTTCTCACACTCCTCCCCTTTCACTCCTCATTGCTTGTGAACAGTGTCCAGTTAATCTGATAACAGAGTTACAAGGGAAAAATCTTCATTTGATTAATTTAATTAAACATTTCAGAGCCTTCAGTAAGTCCTGCAGAAAGAGGTTAATCTTGAGGCTGAAGTAATCTTGCCTTTGGTTTATTAACATGTTTAGTGTTGTACCCCATTCTACACTCATACCCCCAACAGCATTGTACATTATTCCCCTGCTAACTTAACTACAATATTCAGGTGAAAAGTGTGGGACTTTCCAGACACACCTGATCACAGCTAGTCTAAACTGTCAATGACGAACAAGCTGTGAGCATCTTGTATTATGTCATATCATACAAAAAAATATGATTTGGTAAATTGACATTGCATATCACATCATCTGTTATAAAGAATATCCATCAGGTCAAACTGAAATTAAAACTGACCTTTTTTATCCTGTTGTATCTCTATACCAGGGGTCGGCAACATGTGGCTCCAGAGTCGCATGTGACTATACTGTTTAATCTGCAACGAGAAACTGTCAAACACTAAAAAGTCACAAGGCTGAAGTCGGCTCGTCATTCACCAGCTTCTTATTTGAATTTTCCCGTTACATCTTAAATGGTGCAGCGGTTACATTCTGGCACCTCAGGCACCATTTAAGGTGGAACGGGAAAATTCGAAAAAGAAGCTTGTGAATGAGAAACGACTTCAGCCACGTAAAAAGTCTAACATTGAGAGACATTTTACAAGAAACTAATCTACTTTTGTAGAAAGGTTTCCTGTCGGAGATGCGAAAAAAAAGGGCTATAGCTGAGCTAAAGCTTAAAGCAAAGTAAGTCTGCCTTTTTGTACATATTATATTTTTAGCCCGTACTAACACATTAACACATTAGCACATACTATAATAATACATATTATCAAGTGAAAATGCTCAGGTAGCTCAGAGATCCTCCCTGATACTGTGTTTCAATGGGAAATAAATTATAGTACTGACTATAAGTAATGCGTTATGATTCCCAATTCATGCTGACTTGAAAGTCCTGACCAACTACCTCAGGGTAGTTGCCTCAATTTCTTCTTAAAATCCACTTATGCGTTTTTTTTTACAAAGATTCTGACACTCACCAGTGTTTTCTTATTTGGGATTTGTTCTTAGGTACGAACAGAATCTACACACACTCAAGAGCACAAAGGTATGAACGGTTCTGCGGTGTAAGAACACGTCATGAATCTGACGTAGCGTTTTTCTTAGGACTTTTCTCAAGAACATGTTTAAGAAAAAGCTTAAGAAGATATTAGTGAATGAGGCCCACTGTTCTGAAGTGTTCAGATCAACACATTAATCCACTGGAGATTGCTCATCTGACAGCGTAGGTCAGATGGGGCCAGGACTGACCACATCAGACTGTCCATGTGATCAGTCTGTTAATTCATGAAAGACTGTTACCCTGTGACCAACAGTAATGTAAATACTAAAGACCTGAGAAAACTGACCTGAGATGGCCTGTAATGTTTTAACATTTGAGTCTAATTTTGACTACCTATGTAGGCCTCAGTATGCAATATAGTGAAAATCAGTAAAATAAGGTTTTACAAGAATAGTGTAAAAGCTGGTGCTGGGGAGCATAACGCTAGGGGGGCATTGTTACAGCTCGGTCAAGTTTGGAGCAAATGTTATTAGCCTATTAGATTGTACACGTCATAACCTACACTGAAATAGCAGTTTTCAACATTACATACAGTTCATCATATTCTGAAAAAAAGATTATATTCTATATTTAAACAATTTACATTTTAAAGGACCTTATTTATAAGCACATTGATGTGCCCACTCATATAGATTTCTCTGTGCTGGGTTGTTAAAAGTGCAGTTAAAAGTTAAAAGAACCACGTTCCAGTTCTAGTTCCAGGTCCATTAATCTCTGTTTTAGTGTTCATCTAATCTAACCCCGTAATCTGAATCATGACTGCAGTCATTGAGGATGTTCCAAGATCCTCGTCCACTTTGCATTTGTCTCAAAAGACAAGCCACTGAATCCTGCCAGATACAGCAAGTCACAACAACTCTAGACTGCTTTGTCTTGGCTGAAAGCTCACAGTGCCCCGTCACTCTGTTAGACAGTGATCTAAGGGCTACTGAAAGCTGGAAACAAAAGGCTACGGACAGTACTGGAGAGGGCGCAAAAGCAAAGTGCAATAAACATTTTATTATACAGTGTCTCCGTCAGCGTAGGTCAGATGGGGCCTGTTAGGGCGACCCGCTTCACGTTGCGAGCAGAGAACAACTCCATAAAAAAGCAATTACTGGGTTAGCATAAAACTGAGTGAAAAAAAAGTGGGACGCATTGTAAATTGTGTTAAAAGTGAGAGAAAGTAGGCCATGAACTGTGCTACAGTTAGCAAAGGCAGACTATGAAGAGGGGGAGGGTCCTCTGCAACCTGAAATAATTAAGAAGACCAAGATAAACTTCTTCAAACAATTAGAGGACCATCGCAATGATGGCAGCGCAGCGCCTGGGGCAATAACAACCAGACTCTTCATAAAAAAGTTTGGAAAGTAGATGATAAATGGAAAAAAGTGACTTGTTCCCTTTGTGAAGTTGTAATTATGGCATCTCTCTTGAGGATGCAACTGACCTGTTAAAAACAGGCTCTAAGAAGATGTTTATATCCAGTTATCACTTTGGATATACACAAATGTTTGAAATGTATGACATTGTTGTTTATATGGTGGTCACATACTGGAAAAAACTGGCTCTCTTCTTGGTGCTAAATTCCACCCATGAGTTTCAGCTGACAGTGGCTGGAGCAGGAGAAAGTCTATTTGAGTTATCACTGCCAGTAGAGTGTCAGGATTTAAGTCCCAGCTATCAATTAATAGGCCAGAAACTGGCCAAGAAGGTTTATCCAGCTTATACATTACTCAATTAGAGACCACTCTGCATTTAGTGGATTTACAGTCAAAGTGACTATTAAGTACAAGTTATTCATTTTTCAGGAGAAGTTCTGAAGAAATTAGATATAAGATAGTCCACTTGCATTAGGTACACTCTCAGAAATAAAGGTCTGAAACTGTCACTGAGGCAGTACCCCTCTTGTCACTGGGGTGGTACTTTCAAGGGTACATCTCAGCACCTTTAGTCAGGGAACTTAATTGTACCATAATCAATTAAAATTATATTTTCTAAGTTGTATTGACTCCACACACCCCGTCTCGTCTCCAGGCTTTTTATTTTATTGTTCTGTTTTAAAACATTAGGATATGAAAAACAATATATAATACAATATGTACTTTTCACCTGGGAAAAACTTATTTAAGGTTAGTGCTTAAAAAAATTTGTCCTTAAAACCACTGCTGTACTTTTGAGGGTACATTTACATTATTTGTACTTTGATGCACGAAAGAAGTACCTTTATTCCTAACAGTGTGGGGAGGATTCAAAAGAAAATAAGTGAAAAAAACAGGTCAAACCTAGAGTTTGAAAATTGATCAAGAGAAAATGGGACTCCTATTAACCATGCAAGACCTGCTAGATCACCAAAACTCACCATCAGATAAACAGTATTTTCAGAACAATGGACTGACCACCCCAGAGTCCAGACCTCAACATCACTGAATGTGTTTGGGATTACTTGGATTATGATGAAGCAAAAAGTGCAACCAACTTCTAAGACTGAACTTTGGAGGTGTGGAAAAATATCCTAAGATTTCTTTGAAAAAGCAAGTCTCCTGAAAACAGTGGAAGATGTTAGAACTCCTTGTATTGGAGGTGGCACCAATCCGATATGAGGCTGACATCAGCAGAAAATGTTGGATCGGATTTCAGATGGAAAACAAGAATGAATCTGATCCAGTCCTGTAACAAATCTAGCCTGAAATATCACACTCACA